CTTTCTCTTAAACCTTAAACACCAACTTAGTAAGGATCCTACTCTTACACTAATAAAAATTCACATCTAGAGTAAGGATTCTTACCTTTAAGTGCTTAGGATCAACTTGTATCAACTTCTAGTCAAAAGCTCTCCAAAAATCGTTGGAAAATTGAATGAAAGCTTGTGAGAATTGAAGGATGGTGGTGTCCTATGGTAGGTGGGATTTTTTGGTGTTCTCTTTCCTTTCTTCTTGGTGTTTATCTCCNTCTCTTTCTCTCTCATTTTTTGTTTGGGTTTACCATGCCATGCTTAAATGAGGGAAGGATCCTTTGTTCTTCTTAATTGATTTGCCCTAGATTTGCAATAGGTTATTCTATTAATCACATTTGAGATGAATTGCCGCTTGTTTGAAAGGTTATACTTCTTTTTAACTCGTATTACTTCATTCAATCTTCAACATTTAGATGACTGTTACAATGCTTTTGAATCTTTCATTTATAGAATAATACGTTAGAGTCAAATCATAAATTAGGCTTCTTTTTTTTTAATTTTTTCAGTTTGTTTTGTGTGAGCATGTGTGAGACTAAAACCGTTTTATTATTTGAGTTCTCTTTTTTGCATGCTTGTGCTGGCTCTGGCTGATATAAGTTGCCAATTAATCACATTTTTATTTAAAATACTACACCAGATGCTAATCCAAGTTGATGATGACGAAACGTTTATGGAGAGAAACCCCCAAGCCTTCTACCATTTTCTATAATGCAAAATGCTTCCAGTTAAGACAAGAACAAAAAGCCAAAGCACCATTTACATTGAAACGATGATGTCCTTTTTAATGGACCCATAATTTCCAAAACCAACATTTTTTAAGGTTGTATTTCAGTTGGTTTCACAATTAATTATTGATATTTTGCACCTTTTGTTAGGCTTTTGTTATGGGCATATATGAAAATTTATCATTTTAAAAAACTGTCAGAACCACTGGAAAATAAATTCCCAAGCACAGGTTAAGTGTTTTAAAAATCGCTACTAAAAACCCCTCAAAACCGCTACGATGGTTTACCCTCATAACCGCTACCATAAAACTCCCAAGCAGACCCTTAGAGTTTAGGTTTAACCTTTTTTGCTCTCTTCACATTGAAAATGTTTTTCTCGTAAAAATTTTCTTGTGAATTAGATGTTATTTTCAACATATTTGCTCAAGGTTTTGCCTCTCATAGATTTATTCAAGTAAGAAAGTATTGTGTTATTACATTCTTTCTTCTTAGCTTCTTGATGCTGTATTGTTTCTTTTGCTCAAAGTTTGGTGGTTTTTTAAAAGTTTTCACTAGTTGATTGGCAAACAATGGCGGAGTTGTGGAGGCCCCCCTTGGGTAAAATCTTGGGTCCGCCACTTGACACCACCATATTGTTATGCAATAATGTTGTCATCATGGTTTTAGTGATGGTAAACAAGATAGGTCGGGGTGGGGACCGCCATCTCCATCCCTATCCCCATCCCTAAAATGAAATAGCGTCCCCATCCTTGAATTGGACAATTTAGGGATAGGGCGACGATTCCCTATCCCTGAATTGTCCAAATAATATAATATTTTTAATTTTTGTTATTTATAATGACTATTTTTTTCAAAATATTAAGTTTTAAGAATTCTGTTTTTAGTTTTAATCTAAATCATATAGAGAAACAAAAATTGATTTTTTATTCAAAGCTATTAATCATGTTAAAATATTTATATTCAACATTCCAAATTATGTACTAACACGCATATTTAAAAGTCTTATTTTCTAATTGTACAAGAAAACAAACTAATAATTTACATTAACGATAATGAAAAAAAATTCATAATCACGTACATGGATAATTTATATAAAATTTGCATGCGCACAAAATTGAGATAGAAGTTTACAAATTTTAGATAGATTTTTACAAATTTTAGATCGGGTCAGGAACAAGCGGAGACCTTTTCTCGCAAGAAAAATTTTCATCTTTTATTTCTTGACTGCCATGTTTGATTATCAAGTAATATAAGATTCCGGTAATCTTCCAAAACCAATAGTAATTATTATTGGTAATATAGAAGGTAATCTAATTATCTCTATTTTCTTAGGTATTTTAAGATTACCTAATAATCTTATTTTTGTTACAATTTTACCCCTTATTAAAAAAAAATTTGGACAATAATGCCCTTTTTTTAAAATCGATTTACATTAATTTGCCATTACAATTTTACCCCTATTTAATTAAGTTTTTAGACAATAATTCTCTTATATTTAAAACAAATTATAGGCCCTTTAGGACCACCGTCGCCTGCCAGCCACCATTGCTGATAGTTGGCCAATCATCATCGGCTGCCGTCGAAAGTCGCCAAAAATGGCCTCCGTACACTGATATGGCAGTTTTCGACCATATTGATGGCAAAAAAGGGCCATATGGCCATAGATTTGGCCGGAAATGGCCAGATCTATTTTGGTTGTTTTTGGCTAGATCTACGGCTTCTGGTTGTTAATGATGGCCAGGTGGCTAGATCATGGTTGTCAACGGCCAGAACTTTGGCCAGCTCTGGCTATCGATCTGGCCTTTTCTAGCCAGACCCATCGTAGATCTAGCCGAAAATGGCCATATCGGTACACGGTTGGCTAGATCCGACCGATCATGTCTTGTTACAGCCATTTTCGCTGTCGCCAGTGGTGGTGGCAGGCCATCGGCAGTGGCTTGGGGTGGGTGGGAGTGTTTTTGTTAAGTTTTAACTTCTTTGATTGCGGTGTTTTAGCAATATCTCAAACGTAAGGGGTTAAAAGAATTATTCAAAAAAAAAAATTATATTAATATTTAAATAACATACCCACCAATTTATCATCCTAACCAAACATATTAATATAAAATATCTACCAATTTATTCCAAACTAACCAAACACATTTCCCTAAACACACCGGTAATTTTCAATGTAATTTATCTTTCTATTATCAATATAACATTCCCAATAATACAATATTTCCTGAGCTAAACACACCATAAGGGAATAATTGTATTCCTAAAAATGCTAAGTCTCATGTAGAAAAGGAAGAACAAGTAAGAGCATCTCCAAATGACTTTTTATATGACCCAAACTCTTTAGTATAAAAAGTTTATTCATAAAAATAAGAGTCCAACATATTTTTTATTTTATAAATATAAATTACAAAGTGAATTTGGCTCTCCATATCTAGAGATTCAAATTTCACTCTCTATCCTAATTTTAATTAATAAAATACAGGTTTTTACGCATTTAATCTCTCCTATTAAGTCTTTTTCTTGAAAATAAAGAGTATCTTCATTAAATTTAAAGAGTTCATTGGATTTGAATAAAAATTTTATTTTTTATATTTAGAAATTAATGAAGATGCTCTTTAAAATAAAAAACACAATAGGAGATGTTCTAAAAAGTGTTTATAAACACTTACTCATCACGAATTTGGTAACAAGTAAGCCCATTGGGCTACCACTTGTACAAGGCTTTATAACCCAAGCCCAAATCTATCTGAATATAAAAGTCTAAAATCTAATTATAATTTTTTTTTCTTATTCTTTTGTTGTACACAAAATGTTTATCATACGCAAACTGCCACATGTAGAAAAGGATATTCTTTTATATATACAGTTGAATAATTAAATTATAATTTTACAATTAATATTATGGTTTCACTCCTATACGCTATACCGAAGGGTACGTGTCTCCCACGAAAGGGCATCCTCATTCAAGGTCAGCTTCATTAGATTTAACAATTGAAAGGATTGAGGTCTTCTTAGAGTTTGTCATTCTCAATAAATTTTCATGATTATTTAATCCCGAAATCTATCTGTACTCACAGGTCATCTAATATTATATTTATATATATGCGCGTTTTGACTTTAAAATAAACAAGTAAAGTTATGAGGAAAGAAAAACAACCAGTTAATTGGATTTATTTTCCTAACTTAATTAAATGGTGTTTGAAATATACCTCAAGTTGCTACACTGATCAACAATCTGAACTCAATCATGAATATTTGTGATTTATATAATCAATGGTTAATGATGGATCGCCCTTTCGAATTGGAACGGATTTGTCTCTCACTTTATAATTATCAAATGAAAGTAGATTCCTAGGATATTCCGAGGTTCCATATTTATTTATATTAGAATAAGTTTATCATTGAATTGACTTAAATATATATATATATATATAATGAATGAATGATTCCCGAGAAAGAAAAAATTGCAGTGCGTGAATTATTACGTGTTCTTATTAGTTTATAGAATTGTTACGCTTATAAAGAAATCTTATAAAGATCAAGTGATATAATAAAAAATTAAATAGAAGAGTGAATATAATAAATTTGATTTTTTGTTTTACTCTTTCATTCATTTTTTACCACCTCACTTTGTATGTAAATTTTTATAAAATTTCTTTATAAATATAGTATTATTAACTAGTTTATATCATCAATGATCTGTTTCGCTTCATTGACATAGAGCTTAATTACAATTTTACAATTAAATTGTTGGTTTAATCTTTTAATTGAACAGAATAACTTTTACAAATTTATTCCAGTAAAAATAAACTAATAATTAGTAATTAGAAGAAAACTGTTTGAAAATACATCTTAATTATACATTATTCACACATTCTTTTAAGTATCGGGTATATCTTGAAAGACAAAAACGCTAAAACCAAACCGAATCCTCTATACACACAAGAACGTTAAGCAAATTGGTCTATAAAGAAAAAGGAAATATATTAATTATACATAAGAAATACATGTATGTATACAAATAGATGTGATAAAATAGTAAAAATTAAAAATTAATTCAATAAATAAAAATGATAATAAAAGTATAGTGTGACATATTATTTAAGTAAAGAAGCTTTATACAATGAACGAATATTTTTCTGTGGTGGTAACTGAAGATAAGTGAAGCCAAAAGGATACATAGAGGGGGAGGGAGGGATACATAGAGGGGGAGGGAGGGTGGAGTTCCGTGTATCCATTGCTGTAAGCATATCCAAAAATAATATTCTTAAATGGACATACTTCACGCCATTGCAACTAATAATTTATATTTTTTCAAACTCGCCAAACCCTTTTTTATATCCCTCCCCTTCCCTACCTTAATTACAACTCATGAATCCTTAAACAAAAAAATTATGGAAAATTTGCTGTCACCTGTGTTCCCTATTCTTCTAACCATGTGCATTTTCTCTCAGATTTCACCGTCTTATGCATTAACCCATGACTATATTCGCCCACCAGCTCGAGGTCTGGTCTTATCTCAACACAAACGATCTGAATCCGACCCTCAACAGGTCTGTCTCTTCATTAACACTCTTTACTATATCATCATTTCATAATGTTAAAGTTTCTTTTCAATAATATCTTAGGTGCATATATCCTTAGCGGGTAAAGATCACATTAGAGTATCTTGGATTACGGATGATAAGAAGGTACCATCTATTGTAGAATATGGAAAAGTACCAGGTGAATATAATGCAATGGCAACTGGAGAGCATACCTCATATCATTACTTCTTTTATAGCTCCAGCAAGATACACCACGTTAAGATTGGGCCACTGGAAACAGACACTATTTATTATTACAGATGTGGAGGTTGTGGTCCAGAATTTTCATTCAAGACACCCCCTCCATCTTTTCCGATTGAATTCGCCGTGGTTGGTAAGTAGATTTTTATATATCTAGATCTAAATATCAACTCATACTTCTTCCTAAATAGCTAAATTTAGACGTTGAGCAAAAGTTGGTAGCGTTTAATTTGTGGTGAATGTTAACTTGCACGTTTCATTCAAAACAAAGTAGACATGTTTTTGTTTTGTTCTATGTTGCTTTTTGGGCTTAAGAAAGGCGTTGTTTCTTTTCCCAAAAGGAAAGAAAATGAAGAGTGTATACTGTATACTACTACTTTTATATCAATTTTGTTTAAGATTAAAAGTCATTATTATATATGCTTAATTGATTGTATTTATCCATTATTTCACTAGCAATTGGTAATATTGAATTTGATCCCACTGTTACATGTATTTTAATTAATTTCAATTAAAATCTCTGCTTTGTTTTTGTTTATTTCTTCTCTACTTTTATTGTTCCGGAGATGTTAATTTTCTAGAACTATGTAGTTAATTATATAGGTCTTTACTTGAGTCCAGATTTGTTTATTAGAGCTGAAAATGCAGAATATTAAATTGTCCCATGCAGGAGACCTTGGACAAACAGAATGGACAAATTCAACCCTAGCACATGTTGGAAGCAAAGACTACGATGTATTTTTGTTACCAGGTGATCTATCATATGCAGATACCCAGCAACCACTTTGGGATTCATTCGGTCGTCTAGTTGAGCCATACGCCAGCAGCCGCCCATGGATGGTGACAGAGGGCAACCATGAGATTGAGACTTTCCCCATTATTCAACCCCACGGTTTCAAGGCTTACAACGCCCGTTGGCGAATGCCATTTGAAGAAAGTGGATCTTCATCAAATTTGTACTATTCTTTTGATGTTTCTGGAACTCACATTATTATGTTGGGATCTTACACAGATTTTGATGCTGATTCAGCTCAGTACAAGTGGCTTCAAGCTGATTTATCAAAGATTGACAGGAAGAAGACACCCTGGGTTATTGCTCTTTTGCATGCGCCTTGGTATAATACTAATTCTGCTCATCAAGGGGAAGGAGAATCCATGAGAAAATCTATGGAAGACTTGCTGTATAAGGCACGAGTCGACATTATTTTTGCTGGCCATGTTCATGCATATGAACGATTTGTAAGTATCTTCATCACTAATCAAGTATTTTTTTTTTTTTTTTTTTCTAATATCATTGAGATATAATTAAGTCCAAGTTAGAAGTTACAGATCTAATTAGACAAGTATATTATTGGATGTGTTTAAGATTAAACAATCTCAGAAGGGGGTCCATAAAATAAACCCTATGCAATGTATATATATGAGTGATTAACTGTAAAATTTGTTTTTCCGATTAATTGCAGACTAGGATATACGATAACAAAGCTGACCCGTGCGGTCCCATGTATATAACAATTGGTGATGGAGGGAACAGAGAAGGACTTGCATTAAAGTAAGTAATTTTTCCTTTTTCACAAGCGTGAAATTGTTAATCATTAATATATCATTAGTTGCAGTTCTGGTTATTATAGAAAACCTTTTTAAAAACTAAAGATACAAGTGCTATTTGATTTCAAAATGAAGAATGTTTATCATGTTTTTCCTTGATAAGATTATCTAAGTATTATATAAGAGTTTCGGGATACTAAATTTAGCTATTCTTAGTATGATCAGCTCGAAAAATATATATTTTAACCAAATTGATTTCAAAGAGATTATTGAAATTTTGTCTTCTCTTCTGTGTTTTAGAACTTTGGATGGCTGTAAATTAATATTATATTTTGATTGAATGTGAAGTTTTAAGGAGCCAGTATCCCCTCTGTCAATGTATCGAGAGTCCAGCTTTGGACATGGACGGTTGAGGATATTAGATGAAACCCGTGCTCATTGGTCATGGCATCGTAACAATGATTCTGACTCTTTTACGGCTGATGAGATTTGGTTTGAAAATTTAAGCACATCAAAACAATGTTGGGGAAACACCAATACCCAACAATCGTCATCAATTGGCATTAGTGATGAACTCTAAGCTGCTCTCAAACTGAAACTGTCTATTTTAGGAGTTACCATTGGTATTGGATTGTATTACATGGATAGCTGAAAATTTATGTCAAAAGTTTAAGTTAGATATAGTCTTTAATTTATGTGTGTAGCATTTTATTATATTGGACATTATATGATAAAATAGTTTTTTTTTTTTTTTAATCTGATTATGTTGTATTAATTTATAATAATGATTTCATTAGTTAATTTTTTTACACTGATATTTATTGAATAACTCATTTGAAAAAAAAAATACAAATTAACTTAAAATGTATGTCATCCATTAAAAATTTTGGGAAAAAAGGTGTAGTACAAAAAATTTTTTTGCCAAGGATAACTAAGTGTCATTGACATCAACCTTCTTGAATTCAAATGTACAAGAGTGCCTTCTAGATATCTATGGATTAAAAAAAAAAAAAAAAATAAGGTTTCATTTTGAGCAGAGGAATCGCACTTATGTTCACAAAGTCTACGGCTTTCTTGTGCGTCGAATCTATCCTTAATATGTTACTTACATAAATAAAATTAATTAATTTAAAAAGACAAAACAGGGTGAGAAAAATAGAGATTATTCCAATTTCAAGGATTCGAAGAATTTAGAAGGGAGAATTAACAAAAGAATAATAGAGGCATATAGAGGAGAATGGATAAACTAATGATGCTTACTTTTAAGGCTCCAATTAAGACAATCTCTTTGTAAATGACCTTATAACCGATGTTTGTTATTATAATGAATAATATCATATGTACAAATTTTACATACAAACTGATGTATTTTAATGTGATTGAGTGATTTTGAATTAGAGATAAACTTAACAATTAGGATAGATGATATGTCAAACATACATAATTACTACATCAGTTTGTAAAGAATAATTTGTATATGTAACATTATCTCAATTTAATAAAAATTAAAGTAGTCGAATATCCATCCCCATATATTACAAGTACAACCGATTGTTGGCCTAAAACAACTAGCTGACTTGAGGAAACTAAAAAACATTCTATTTTTGTAGGCTTGAATAAGTTGTAGTTTCTTATATAAATTAAAGTAGTCGCATATCCATTCCCATATCATTCTTGTGTTGGGTTAGGTATCTATGTATTTCATACATATACTTGATGTGGGTTTCGCAAGCATACGGAGTCATGCTAGTAATACAATTTGAGTAAACGATATCGAAATTCCCCACTATAAAAGAAAAGGAATAGGAGAACTAAGAGAATTAATTCATTATTTTCTCCTAAACCCTAACCTTGGCCGCAATTCCCTTGCTTGAGAGAGAAATTCTTTTTCTCAATTTCATGGCCTCCCTTGAGCAATTGATTCAACTGAGATCCAATCCTGCTTTTGTGTGGATACTGACTTGCTCGATTCTACCTTTGAATTGTTAGTGAAGTTCGAATTCAATCCAATTGAAGGAGCCACCAACGAAGGTATTAAAAAGTTCTAACCTTGTATGAGTTTAGTTTGGGTTACACCATATCAATCCTAATCTTGGGTTGAGATTCTTCGAATAAAATTTTATATTATGTTCCGCATATTCGATGAAAAACCCTATAGGGTTATGTTATCATCAATCTCTTGAGATAGAGCCCGATCGATGGTACATAATTTATTTTCAGACTCAAGTACTACATGTCAACTCGTGCATTATTCGATTGCATTTCTCTACTATGCCTCTAGTATTGTTATCAACATTCGTTGATGCGAACAAGCAAAAGTACTAGTTAAGTCTTAACCCAACTCTATTAAAGAAAAGTTCCAATGTAACTTAACCTCCCACTGATAGAAGTGTTCTCTTCGCTGATGCGAATACGATCGTGACGAACAATGGTTTGATTAAGCCCATAGTGTTGGAAGGCACTAAAATGTATATAACTTAATATCATTTATGAGGGGTTTTTATTATGTCTCACCATTTTATTACTACATAATTAGGCATGTGAAAACATTCAACCTTAATTATGCATTCTAAGCAGAAATTAAACATGCCCGTACATGGTCTAACTAAAAATTGGTCTCCTCAAGCCTAGAGGAATCGGTGGGTCAACATAGGGTCTTGTACTAAACAATACAAATCTTGAGTTTTTAGGAATGAATGTTGCTCCTTCACTCCGTCTTCAACTGCGTAATATTATAAATTTACAAGAAATTAAAATATAACTATTCTAATTTACATCGATAAATTTGGAAACCTCGAGTTACATTCGAGGGGAGTGAGGTGAGAAAAGAATGTACAATAGAGTTGACAGAAAGGCAAGACATGCAGACCCTATCATAAAAATGTACAAACATACATTCCTAGAAAATTCAATTAAAAACATACACCCTTAGGTCTAGGGCTCATGTACCGAGCACCTTGCAATAACACACATAGAAGCATTGCATTCAAACAATCAAAAGAATATTTTGATTCAATGTAGATAATTACATTACTCCTTAATAATTTGTAGAATTCTTTAGGTCCAATAGGTTTTGAACTTTGCAGTTTAGTCCCTATTGACGGACTTCAAACAATTGGGCCACCAAATTACAGCAAATGTGCATCAACACACTCCAAATAATCTTTAAGTAAAATTGCATGCAACAATGCGCAATTATTAACCCAAAACAGTCCAAAATTTGTCAATACAAAGGTTGCTCGAAAACGCTCTCGTGCGCAACAATTAACACATGTGGGCAGCAACTATTTTAAAATACTAGGAAATGCACCACCATGTCCTCTTTCATATGATACAATTTGTGAGTCACTTGACTCACTACAGCCTCTGAAATCAACACTTTATGAGGATGTAGTCAGTTCACACGGGACAACGTGCAGAAAAATTGCATTATGGTAAATTGCTCGAAACCCTATGTTACACGAGTCCAAAACCTTGGGCAGGCATACCAAAACGTTCCTCACACGTGCAGCAACACATGGAAAAAGACCCTGCACAAAAATACATGTTACAACACGAAGCTAAAGTTCGAGGACAGTCTGCTTGTTGTCCCAACAACGCGCAGAAAAACTGCTTGCTTGACAACTTGCTCGAAACCTCTCATATCGACCCTCACACATTTAACATGTGGATGGAAACCTCGCACCAAAATTCGCGCTACTACGCGAACGGGAGCTAAAGTTTGAGGAGAACCTATCTACTGTCGCATGTAGGTCTGTTGTGTGCAATTTCACACAACAGATGCACATGGCTGAAATTGTCATGTGCTGCTCAAGACCATGTTTTTTCACACATGGCCGTCATAGATTGGCCATGCACAAATGTGCATAGCCACGAAAACTGCCACTCATGGAGTGGGACAACAATAATGTGCAAAAGCGCACAGCCCCCACGGCAGCAGCAACAAGCAAGAATGCACAACGGGTAGGGCAGTGGATGTGCGTGTTTGTACTTGGCCACTACAACATCGTTTGAAGCTGTTGTGCGTGACATACTATTGTTGCGCACGGCAACGCTCAGCAGGTGCTTGTTGCTGCGCACAGCAGCACACAACAGTCGTGCACCACCACCCATGGTGGCACACGATTAGGGTTCCGATAATCAATTTAAAAAAAAAAAAAAAATTAAAACAAAGGCATAAAATTAATCCCAACGCAATTCATTAACAAATCACACTTAATCAATTTCAATTGAACAATTTTAATCAACAAATTGTAGGAACCATGCCTTGGCAAGCGTAGAATAATAACAAAAAAAATTCTTGCCATAGAACGATTCCCTTACCCAAGATCACGATTTCGATTAAATTAATCAACATAAATTAAAACAACCATACAAGGTTATGTGACATACCTCTTGTTGGCGGCTCCTTCTTTGGATTAGAACTTTCAGTACTGTTCACTGGCACTATTTACAAATACTGTTCACAGACACTGTTCGCAGATACTGTTTACCGTATTGTTCACATATACTGTTTACAGGATACTGTTCACGGGTATTGTTCACAGGTACTTTGCTATCAATCCAACGTAGGATTGAATCCGTCGGTATCCACACGAAGGTAGGCTCGGGATCACCCTAGGATCGACTGCTAGATCAATCGTAGGGCTTAAGGGAGGTGGCATAATTTAGAGAGAGAATTTCTCTCTCTAGGTTGGTGGCTAAGGCTTTTAGGAGAGTTAATTTTGCTATTTAATTTGCAAAATTAACTTTATGATCTTAGCTCTCTTAAAACAAAACTCAATGACTCTTTATATAGACAATCCCAAACAAGAGTCCAATAAGGATTGTAAATCCTTAGTTCCTATTCGGATTGGATTACAATCCTTTTAATTCTTATTTGAATTGGATTGCAATCCTTGATATAAGGGATTAAAATATCTCTTAAAGACATTCTCCTAAATATATGCATCCTAATTAAATAAATATTGCTATTTATTTAATCCTTATATATTTATATATGTTTATCATATTTAATATATGAGTTTTAATATATATATTTAACTAAATTAAATATATATTCTCCATATTAATTAAAATTAACATGATTACAATTTTGCTAAAAATTCTCCCAATAAATTGGATAATGACATCAACCCCTTAGCAAAATTACTAAAGTGCCCTTTTCACCCATAATGACGAAAATGCTCCTAGACTCCCAAATTACCGAAATACCCTTTTCGCCCAATCTCACTTAATTACCTTCTATGTGTATGACGTGAAGGCTCTTCACTTTGCTAGCAGTGTCTTGATGACTAATTAAGCATCAAGCAATTAGTGCTTTCGTACACCAATCAAGATTGGCCTCTAGCAAGAAATTTTGATTTCCCGGTAAGTAAAGATTCAACAATTTAGGCTTACCTTGTCTTTGATATGGTTACCATGCAATTTGATTCGTTTCATCATCTTTTATCTTATCAAGGTTTGAGGTATAGAAATAGTGTCAACTTGAAAATGCTACCTTGACATATTCTATATTTGGTTCTTGAATCTGACGACTATTAGATTCGAACACTGACCCGATTTCACTGTAGCCACGAATTTGAGGTCATAATTCTTTAACCAAATATCTCGCCGAGATAAGATCTCCTGTAACTAAGGGTGATGAATCATTTGTTGATCCACCATAGTCATAGTGTATTTCTTGATATAACCAATCATCATCATTTTGGTAATC